TAAGAAAGAAATGGAAACCATGATCACCCAACATAAGAAAGAAATGGAATCCATGAAACAGATTCAAACAGATATTTAGGAGATTAAAAACTCCATTGAAAGCATGCACAGCAGATTAAGGGAATCTAAAGATAGAATATCAGATATAGAAGACAGGATTGTGGTTAAGGACCATGAGAACAGAGATCTCTTCAAAATAGTAAGGGACCATGAGAAATCAATCCAGCAGCTGCTAGGTGATGCAAGGAAGAATAACATAAGACTGATAGGAGTCCATGAAAAAACAGGAGAAAATACAATTGACATAAAAAACTGTTCACAGAAGTAATAGAAAACTTCCCAGACAGAGGGAACTGGACATACAGATAAGTGAGGGATATAGAACTCCAACTAGCCATGATCAAAAAAGATCTAAACCTAGACACATAATAATCAAGATCCCAGAAACCCAACAGAAGAACAAAATTCTACAGGCAGTTAGAGAAAAGAATCAAATCACCTATGAAGGAAAGCCCATCAGAATCACGGCAGATTTTTCAACATAAACCCTCAAATCAAGGAGAGCCTGGAGTGAAGTATTTCAAGCCCTAAAAGAAAATAATTTCCAACCTAAACTGTTGTATCCTGCAAAATTATCTTTCAAAATCGATTGGGAAATTAGATACTTCCACAACAAAGACCACCTGAGAAATTTCATGAACACCAAACCAGCACTCCAAACAATCCTAAGCAATATCCTAGAAAAAGACAATGAAGAGCACAACTCCATGAGCCCCAACAGAGGGAAGCCACCAGGCAAAGTAAGAAACTAAAGGGAAAGGGGGAAAAAAAAACAAACAAGAAATAAAAGAGCCAACAATAGTAAAACATCATGACAAGGATGAGTCAATTTCTATCAATTATAACTATCAATGTTAATGGTCTCAATTCACCAATCAAAAGAAACAGACTGATAGAATGGATTAAGAAGCAAAATCCAACAATATACTGAATATAAAAAACACACCTAACTCAAAAAGAAATACATAGACTGAAGGTAAAAGGATGGAAAACAGCTCTCCATGCCACAGGAACCCAGAAAAAAGCAGGGGTAGCAATTTTATTTGCAAACAAAGTAGATTTCAAACCAAAACTAATTAAGACAGACAAAGATGGTCACTACATCCTTATGAAGGGAACAGTCTGATAGGAAGAGATGACAATTATAAATATATGTGCACCAAATATGAATGCCCCCAACTATACAAAACAAATATTCATGGACATGAAAAACCAAATAAGCTCTAATACAATTGTAGTGGGGGATCTCAATACCCCATTATCACAATTAGACAGATCATCTAGACAAAAAATTAATGAAATTCTAGAACTGAACCAAGCTATTGAAAAATTGGACTTAATAGATGTTTACAGAGTGTTCCACCCCACAAAATCAGAATATACATTCTTTTTGGCTGCTCATGGTTCATTCTCCAAAATAGACCACATGCTAGCTCATAGGACATGTCTAAGTAAATGTAAAAGAATTGAAGTTACCCCCTGTATATTATCAGACCATAGTGCAATAAAACTGGAGATCAATGACACAAGAAACTGCAAAACTCCCACAAACACATGGAAATTAAATAACACCCTCTTGAACAAATAATACCTAAAGGTAGCATTGTTTAGATGCTCCTTGGTGGCAAACAAGGGGCTAAGCACTTTGTAGACATCTCCTCGTTGAGTCCCTTCAACAACTCTGGGAGGTGGCACATGGTTATTCCAGTTCTGCAGATGAAGAAATCGAAGTCCAGAGAACATAAATAATTTTAGGTATTTACGTATCAGATGTTTAGGTATCAGGTGTGTTTAGGGCTCACACTGACCCTTCTTGATGCTTTCTTTGTTACAGCAGAGAGGAAGGAGAGAAGGCAGAACTAGTTTCTCCCTTTCTCTGAATTTTGTGGGAGTAGAACCATGAAATGATTTTATTTTTGCAATTTTTTCAAAAATATTTTAGGCCAGGGAGCTTTTGGAGGAGTGAGGACATATGCAGGTCTTTGTGTTGCCCACCTCCAGTGTTACTAGATGGGAACAAATTTTTAGGATTCCAAGAAATCTCTCCTTCATGGATGTTTTACAAAAACTAAAAAATATATATTTTGCTTAGGTGACATTTAGTGTTGAGATTCCAAGAAAAATTCATTTTCTATAACATTTGGTATTGTTTGGGAAACAGTTCAAATTATTTATTTTATGAAATATTCAGTGGAAACATAAAGGAAAAGTTAGAGAAGTAAAAGAAAACTCAACCTTTCTCTCCTGCATCTCCCACACTGTGGGCTTTAGTGGCACATTCTGTAAAAGCAAATGTCTATTTCCCTGTTATTGCTGACAGCCTGCACCTGGTCTTACCAACACTCACCATTTCCCTTCCGCTCCTGGTGTCAGGCAAGAGTGATGGTAGGGCTGTTAGAAAAAAAGGGAAACAGCAAACGTACCAGTCACATTTTACGTAATATCGAGGTTAAATTATATGGTTTGGGAGGCATACTCAAATCAAGACAGACAACTTTAAGGATTATGCAAAAATAGGGGTTGGCCATGTGAAATTGCTGTTATCTGACAGTTTTGAAATACAAAAGTGGAAGTTTCTTAGAGTTGATACTACATACTACCAAGATCTGTTAGTTTCTCTTGGTTTTAACTTCTGAAAGTGCTTTCACTTCTATTCTCTTATTCTTTGCTTGTATAATGTTGCAAGATGAGCAGCACACATGTGTTTAATTTTCTATTTTTCCAGTTGAGGGAAGTAAGATGGTAAGTGAATAACTCATCTAAGTTCAAAAAGCTTGTTGGAACAACAGAATATGGGTGCCACACAGACCTGTAACAAATTAGGATATATTGCTGTAAATAACAAAAAAACTAAAACCAAAATCCTCAAACTGCCTTAAGCAATAAAGCAAAACAGAAAACAAACAAGAAAAAAAACAAAGAGTCAGGGGATCTACTGGCTCCTGAAACCCAAACATTTAGGACTGGATCCCAGAGCTCAAATGACATCATCAAGCCTGGTTGTCCTTCATAGTTCACCCTCTTTTCTGCTGTACTGGTTTCATTCCTGCGTGAGCTTCCCCTTTATATCCCCAATGATGCCAACAGCTCTTGGGGATGTATCTTGTAGGTTTAAACCTCATGGAAAACAGTGAGCATCTTAGAACCTGAATTCTTGTGAAGTGCTGAGATGCCCTTTACTTGAATCGCGAAAGGCATTCTTTTTTTGTTTTCCTTTGGTGCCGGAGATTGAACTCAGAACCTTGAGCTTGTGTGGCAGGCAGGGGCCGTTTGCAGCCATTCTTGATGAAAGTACTGAATGCTGTACTTTGATCTACTGAGCCTGGGTCACCTGCCCTCCTGGAGCTTGTAATAGACTTTATTGGGACCACACAGTGGAGGTGAGCAGATGCTATACAGGATCCTCTTAGAGATCACTGACCCCAGGCTGCTCTTCTTACAGATGAGGGCTCAGGGCAGCAGCACACCTCTTGCCTCCGACCATCTGCGCCTCCCATTCAGGCACTCTGCCTCACACAAGGCCCATGCATCAGCTCTGTGCAGCTGCCTGTGAGTCTGAGAAGAGAAGTTTAGCAGGAAGAATCTAACCTACTGGTTTCATTGCAGTGACCAGCAGGAGTCACAGCAGTGAAGTGCAGGACCATAACAGTGAGCTACAGAATGGGATGCCTGCAGGCCAGTTCTCCCCTGCTCTGAAGTGGCAGCCATACCAAAGTGTTCCTTGGCATAGCTTACTAAACTGTCATCATGAAAAACTGTAAGTGGCCTTAGCAACACCTTGGGTGCGTGGGAGTGTGTGTGTGTGTGTGTGTGTGTGTGTGTGTAAACCAGTGCTAAATCTCATCATTGAATCAAAGTGTTTGGGCTTGGATGCTACACCTGGTCAAGGGCTGGGTCAATGAGGAAGTATCTGTGTTACACCTTATTTTTCCATCTTAACTAATTAATAGCTGGGACATGGGCTTTTGGCCTTCAGGAACCCAGACTTGTAATTCTAACTCATAATTTACCCACTAAATGGTGGAGGGAAAGGGTATTTTCTGAAACCACAGGCTCAATTTAAACTAAAAGTTGGAAAACAGAACTTTCCCAAATCACTAACACTTTATCATGCAGTTAACTTAGAATGCCATGGAATACATTGTAGGAGTCCACATTAACTCGTTAGCCAGTGACACCCTTAACATCTGTGCCATGAAGCGGTATTATCAAGTTCACTATCAATATAACTTGCATGTTTTGAATGGTGAGCCTGCAACCACAGGGAGTGGTTTCTTCATATTCAAAGACTGGTCAAATCATGCAAATTATCCTAAAACTAGAAAAAAGTTTAACCATATTTTTTTTCTTTGGTATCAGGGATCAAACTTGGGACCTTGTGCTTACAAGGCAGGTGGCAGCACCACTGAGCTAAATCTCTGGCCCTAACTATATTTTTATAACATTATAGTTTTAAACATAAATGTGGACTCATGCATTATTGATATTAAACAACCTTTAAATTGTCTCTTTATTTCTTAAAATATAATTTGCCTAAGTTTTCTACAGTTTTTCTTGCTTACAAATGCTTCCTTGAAACATTAAAATATGCCAATGGTTAAGTCGAATTTTCAAGTCATAAATATAATATAAAATTAGAAACTTTGAAAGATAAATTTGAGGGCCTTCTTGGTATTTGAGGCCCTTCTTGGTATTTTACAAATTCAAATAGAGCAAAGTTTATTATGAGAACATTTGTGTTGGATGAACTAGAAGAAAGAAATAATATTTCCTTAAAATGAAGTCTAGGGAGTTGGCCAGACTAATGGTCATATATAAGCTGTAAATTATACCTTTTTTAAGAATTATTTTTCACAAAAAATTCCTTTGCTATTCTCAACCAACACAGTTCTTATTACCTTCCATAATAAAATCAATGTAGGGCCAGGGATTTAGGTCAGTGGTTCTGCCACCTGCCTCACAAACACAAGGACCCGAGTTCGATCCCCGGTACCAAAAAAATTAAAAATAAAATCTATGTAATTCTATCCATATAGCCTTTAGATGAGCTAATTAGCAGATTAATTCTAGAAACCTGAGTCATACAAAGTTCTGTGGTAGCATCATACATGTAGTCTTATCAAATTCTTCATTCAGTGGATTTCCCCTAGCTGCTGTTGTTCACTGTGATTGTGAAGCCATTGACTAAGCATCTACTTAATGGTAATCTATGAAACAATGACTTGATCCTTTGGGAGGTGTTTTACTGACTTGCAAAGGACATGAACATTCTTTTCCCAAGAGACCCATTAATAGTATGTGTCTGGAATTAGAGCAAAAATTAGAAACTTAAATTGTATATTATAATGACAAACATCACATTTAAGATCCCAGGAGGTAAAGATCTACACAGTGGTAGAGCAGTGAATAGTCCCTCTTCCACTCATGGTTCTTAGAAGGAGCTTCTTTTCTGAGGAAAAAAATCCAGCTATAGGAATATTGATGAATTAAAAATTCTGTTCCATATCTACAACATGAATGGAAAAAACCACCAAAGGAGTCCTCTACTTGAAAACATTATTCATTTAATGTTTTATTTTTATTAACATTTTAAAGTATTTTGTTAAACGTGATATACACAAAGGATTTCTATTGAACATAGCTATGATAAAACAAAGTAAAAGTCTGATTAGCCATCCTACCACCGCATTTTCTTTTCCAACAGAAATTGAGTTTGAAGTAGTTAAAGTAGTTCAGTTTTTCAGTGCTGTCATCAGATTGGGAGAATAAAAAGGAAATGAACATACTCTAGTAAACACAGGTTCCCAATGACTAGAATATCTGGTTCTAGTTAATTTAATTTAAAGCTATTTTTTATATGACCATCAATGGACTGAATATTCATTCATTCATTCATTTTGAGTGTGGTAGAGCTGATAAAGCTTAATACTTTTTTTTAAAGAGGAAAGAGATTAATTCTACCCCAGATATTTCTTAGTAATGTGATGATTTTGCAATTTCTAGCCTACATCTTTCTATTGCATTATGGAGTCAATTAAAAGTTTAGGAAGCACAAAGGGGAAAGGCAGATTGAGGAAATGATGTTTCCATTTGACAAAAATTGTACTTTTTTGTGAGAAGGTTAAGAAACTGGGGCTGTGTTTACAAAGATTAAGGGATCAATTGATTAGATATAGCCAAAGGCACTTTTCACATTACATTTTCTTGAAATGTTTGTACAATGAATATTGATGGTAAAAGAAAACGTGTGGAAAATATTTGTAAAATTGGTTTCTTGATTCCTTTCTTCCTAGACCTGATGTGGGCTATCAAGTTGTCACAGACAAAGGATTTAGTTTCTCTCCAGCAGATGAGGCTTTTGTTTGTCAAAAGAAGAACCATTTCCAGATAACCATCCACATCCAAGTTTGGGGAAGTCCAAAATTTGTTAAAACCCAAATGGGCCTAAAGCCAATAGAAATGTTTTACTTGAAAGCTTTTGGAATTAAGGTAAAACTTTTATTTTTTCAATTGAATTTAATAATAAATTTAATAATAAACCATCTTAAAACTTAGGAGTTTAAAATAATATCATTAATATATAGGAATCACAAATCTGCAACTTGGTCAGGCTTGGCTATGAAAACTCATGTTTGTTGAGGAGTCATCCCTGGGATAGCTCAGCTGAGCCATTTCCAAGATGGCACCTCATATGCTTATACATTTGGGCAGCCATTGGCTGGAGATCAAATGGGACTTTTGTTGGGAGCCCTTAGCTCTTCCCTACATGTACACCTTTATGGGATACCTTGTGCTTCCTCACAGCATGGTGGATGGGTTTTAAGACACAGGAAGTTACAGGACACAGGAAGTGGAAAATCCCAATTCTTCACCTCAGAAATTGGCACAGCATCACTTCAAACTATAGTTTTTCTAGTTTCCTGTGTATAAATCCTATACTTCTTTTACTAAATTTATTCTTAATTATTTTATTCTTATTAATGCTGGTGTGTTTTCTTTTTTATTCAATGTATTTGTATATTTTTTATTAGTACATGTGTGTAGTACATAATGCTTATGTTACTTGTGGGGAATTGGTATATGTACATAGCACATCTTAATTCCTTTTTTTAGTCCTCTTTCTCTTCCCTTCCCCCTCCTTCCATCTCTTGATCTTTTTTCCCTTTTAGCAGATTGTACTTCCCTACTTCCTATCATGTATCTTTTATTTTGCTCTTTATTTATTCTTTGGGTTTCTCATATAAGAGAAACTATGCATATAGGATAGATTCATAGTTTTTACCAGATTCTCAAAGAGGTCTCTAATTTAAAAGAAGCCAGAGAACCACTAATTTAGTCAATGCTGGTCTTCTGTAGTTTAAGAGAAGGGAAACTGAGGCCCAGTGATGTTAATCAATTTATCCAAGTTAGTAGACGATTGAGCTGGGTTTAGAATGTAGGCAGTATGACTGGGAAGTTAAAAAGTATCTATTAAGTTATTACCTCATATCCAGATCCTTAGGGGGAGTAGCATCCATTACCTACATATTTCATTATGATGGTTAATCTAGGATTGGCCGTGGAATCTCCTAAAACAGGATGAGCTACTGAACTCAAATAATATTGTTACCAAATAACAACAAAACACATTTTTCTGATTATGTGAGCAATGTAAGTCCATTGTGACAATTTTGAAATATAATAGAAATATATGAAGAAAGCATCAAATTAAGTTATATTTGGGATGTTATATTTGTTACTAAAGCTACAGTAAATATCTGTGTGCACCCATCTTTGCAGAAGGATAAATTCCAAAAGGAGACTTTATCATCAAAGATATGAATATTATTAAGGCTCTTAATGTAGGCTGCCCAATTACTTCCCAGAAAGATTGTTACAATGTATTTGAATATCCATAAGCTGTATATTACAAGATCGGTCTCATGCCCTTGCTTCTTGCTATTCATGGAACAAGAAGAAGAGTATGTAGCAGATGCTGAATAAATGTCATTTCTTGTATATTATTTATTTTTATTTTTATATTATTGTTTCTTCATGGTAGAAAGTAAACTCCGGAAGAGCAAGGATTTTTGTTAATTTTGTCCACTTCTTATCTCTAATGTTTAGAGAGTGCCTGGCACAAAGTAGGTGCTTAATAAATATTTGTAGAATGAATGAATGTGTGTGTTCTTTGAGCTGAATTCGTCCTGAGTTTATCTTCTATAGTTCAGTCATCTACTACTTGACTCTGTATTCACTGCTTACCTGAACTGCTTTGTTGTTTTGCATTTTCATTGTTTAAGTTTATAAGCATTTATTTGTTTTCTCATCAGTAGCATTGTGCTTTAAAGCAGGGGCCACTGTATTCTGTCTTTTCAGTGATTTGCCCTTAAATGCTAGAGTCTGGCATGATGCCTTGAGAATCTTTTTAAGTATCTAAATATTTTGTATGAATGAATGTTTATTTAATAAAGTTATTGCTATTAATTACTTTTTATTGTTGCATACAGGTAGAAACCACCAATCAAATAATTGCTATTGAACAGTCCCAAGCAGATAGAAGCAAAAGGATTTTCAATCCTGTTAAGTAAGAACTATTTTTCTGAATTCCTTGGTGAATATTTTGGGAAGAAAATCTGATGTCTAATTTATTTTGCTTATTTAAAATGAAACCCACTGTAGAATATAAATTAGTAACACTGTAGAATTTTTTTGTGGGTACTAGGGATCGAACTTGGGACCTTGCGCTTGAGAGGCAGGTGGTGGAACCACAGAGCTAAATCCCTGCCCCAACACTGTAGTATTTTAATAGAGTGGTACCTCGGACCACAAACTTAATTTGTTCCATGATTCTTGGGAATATGGCCACAGACACATCATGTTTGTCACTTGATGTGGAGTTCATAAATGGAAGCAAAATTTTGCTTAACACTTCTGTTTGTGAACTGATTGTGAACAGAAGTGTTGATGAACTGAGGCACTGTATTATTGTATTATGAATGCATATTTATCAATAAAAATAAAATTGGCAAAATATATTGGAAACACTGCAAAATCATTTATAAAAGGATTCATTTTAAAAAATCATCCTTTTTATAATCATTTAGTACTAACACATGTTACTAACAACTTTGGTTCCTTACGAAAGATTATAGCCTTATCTTGCCTTGCACTTCCCATGTAAATCAGCTTGATGCTGACTGAATTAATTCAAGGTTCCATTTCCACACTGTGCATACAATTCAGTTTTTCTTATTTTTATGGTACCAGGGATCAAACTCGGGAACCACTGAGCTAAATCCCCAGCCTGTTTTTCTTCTTTTTAAAGGCTACATTGATGGCTGACTGGACTCAAGATAGAAAGTGTGCACTACTGGTAGTGTGCACAGCCATATGACACTCCAAAGTTGAGACATCTCAATGTCTTGACCCTCAGTCAGTCCCATGTGAGCTGGGAAGAGAATGGCCCAACACCTTGGACAGACCAGCTCATACAGACCAGGCACTTGAACAAACAGCACTCAGCTTGCTTAGAGTGTGTGTTTCTCCCTTGTGTAGTCTTCCCTTGGAGGAAGTTGCCCCCGTCACTAGGCTAGGAGAGAACAAATACATGAAGGAGAAGCCAAGGCATTTGCAAAGAACCTAGAGAAACTGCTTGTCCAGAGGTGAGTGCTACAGTAACCATGGTAGCAATACAGTGAGAGGCACCTTTCTTCTCACTGAGGAGGTCACAGAGCCCATATGTGGTGTATGGAGCATACGGCACTCATGAGTCAGAAACTCTGGGCAGAGCTGCTGAGTGAGCATTTCTCAGTGCCCAAGTCATTCTGTGGCCTTTCTGGTGGCTGCCTCTGGCTGGGTTGTGGATCGGACTAGGAATCAGTGCCTGTAATAAACTGTCCTCCACAGTGTGATGGGAACTGAGGACTCAACACCTTGAGAGTCTCAGAGTGGGTTAGATATGATCAAGGGTTCTGTGTTCTCTTATAATCTCTTGGTATTTCTGCTATTTTTTTTTTTAGAATTGACCTACTGGCTGACCAGGTCACCAAAGTAACACTGGGACGATTACACTTCAGTGAGACTACGGCAAACAACATGAGAAAGAAGGGGAAACCGAATCCTGACCAGAGGTACCAGTGCCACTGTGCACACTAGGAGGGCTAGACACACCATCTGACATGAAGCAGCTTCTGGGGACCCTCTGGTCCTCATATGTTCATGCCTCATTACTGTTTTGAGCTGAAAATTGACTTCATTCCTCAAATTTGTTTGCTAATCCTGAAGCACTGCTGTAACCATTTTGATTAAAAAAGGAAATACCTTTGTATCATGATTTAAACCTGTGGTTCTCAAAGTGTGGTCCCAGGACCAATGGAGATGGTGACACCTGAACATTTGTTAGAAATACAGGTTCCCCATCCTCCACACTAACACCCTCCTGAATAAAAAAGTGGAGCTCAAGAAATGGAGCTTAGCAATTTATATCTTAGCAAATGTTCCAGATAATTCTGATACATGCACTGGTTTTAGGACATAGGTTTTGGTGCTGGGAAAAATTGAGTTTGAACTTTTAATGCTGCCATTTGCTACCTTAGGCATATACCTTAATGTTTCTGAGACTCATTTTCCTATTCTGTAAAATAGGGGCAATAACAATATCTTACTCCAATAAAGTTGTTTGGGGGACCTAAATGAAATAATGTAAGCAAACTGCTTAACCCAGCACTTAACATATCTTGAGTTTTCTATGGTAGTTAATCACAATAATGGTAACAATTATTGCTAGTTCTGATTTATTTTAGATACAGTGAGATAACTTTTGTTTTCCACGGCTATACCCATAGAGTATACCAAGGAAGTTGGTAACTTTTTTTTCATGCAGTTTTTAAAGTGAAACTTTTCTGATATGGATAGTTTTTTTTAACTTTCAAGAAATAGTCTAATCCGAAGACTGTTTCTTCAATTGTCCATAGGAAGAAGTAATTGCAATAACAGTGGTAAAAATTGCCTTGAAATTGGAGGGAGGTTCAGGTCTTTAAGGCCCAAGACTTGGGTGTCTCTGGATGTAGGGACTTCTGGTGGGTTCCTGTTGTGTTTGTGAGCAGTGCCATGCTGAGGGCCCAGGCATGCAGTGAATGAGGCCTGGCAAGACAGGTGGGCTTAGCCCAGGCCCCCAGTGGGAACTCTACCCAGGGAAGGCTGCTTTCCTGCTGCCCTGGAGCTTGACAAACACCTCTACTTCAGTACAGAGTACACACGGGACAATAGCAAGTGCATCAGTTGCTCTCTTGTTTCAGTGGGGTGCAGCTAAGAGCAGAAGGGAAAAGGCAAACTCATCTCGGTAAGTTTACTAGTATTTAACTGTCGGGTGGTGTTTGATCACACAATGATGTCTCCGCACTCTGATGTGTTGGCATTGGTCTGCTGTTTCTGAATTAGATACTTCAAGTTGGTGGTTGGACTGTATGCTGCTAACCAAGACCAGTTCTATCTGCTGTCTGCCCATATCTCTGAAAGAATCATTGTACGGGTAAGCCTTATTCTTTGATTTTTCTGGATTCCACTTGCTTTTCTGTGCTGTAGGAAGAATTTGAATTTTCAGTGACATACTTAAAATGTGCTATTTTTAAATTGTTATTGGTGGTAATGATGATAATAGTGATAGCAGAAAAAGCAATTCAATTATTTTAGTGTTCACACAGTGGTTTTCAACCAAAGCCAATTTTATCCCTCAAGAGTCACATCGTAATGTCTGGAGCAGTTTTGGTTGTTGCAACGGGCATCTAGTGGGTAGAGATTAGTGATGCTGCCCAATGCTGTACAATGTACAAGGGAACCCTACACACAAAATTATTCCTCCCAAAATGTTGATGGTACTAAGCTTGGGAAATCCTGATTTTTACTGCATTCTAGGACTGAACTAGACAATCTGTACATGACAGATAAAGAACTGACCCCCAAACCTACAGAGTAGGGAAAGTACCATGAAAGCTTTCTGTGCTTTCTGCTGGGCCACAGCCTAGTACACAGGAATGGCTCAGCATATTGTGCTGAATGGTCACAGCTATAGACGGGAGTCTTGGCAGCCACAGGAACATAAAGCTGTTGGCAGCTGCAGCTGCAGCTATGTAAGGCCAGGCTGGCTGCTGCTGAGAATACCAGAAGCATAAAGTAACAGGTAACTGCAGGCTTGGCACCTGTAGGTCTTTGAAGGAATGAGAGAGGAGGAGCAAACTCCAGGAGGGAAAATCATTCACTGAGGCCATGCCCACGGATGTGTTAACCATGGGCCCTGGGGAGAAAATCTGCCCTTGGGAAGTGGTGTCTCTCCTTGCCTGCTTTGAGGTGTCCTGAAACAAAGGGCTCTCTGTAATTTTTTAGTCAGTTAAAAGTAATAAGCTGCTTATTGTTGGAAATCCTTCAAGTCTCAGAATTTTATAGGCAGTGAAGTAGTGAGAGAAATGAGGTAGAATACTTATGTGTTCAGTGTCCCCATGAGAGGGCTGGCCACACACGCCTTGGGACCTGACCTAATCTGAGGTGAATGAGGCTCCTCTGAGGCCAAGGTGGGAAGGCCCTCTTCTTTGGCCATGGGCCTGTCCATCCCTCACTGGACAGACTTTGTTCGACATTTTGCCTGATTGTAATCTGGGATTGCTTTGCTGTCAAGTCTGGAAAGCTAGGTCACTTGTTGTTTCTAATTTCTCTTCAGAAAGAATAAAGACAGACAATGCCTTTCTTTTCCAAGTTTTCCAAGACTAGATCTCATGACCGTGCTGTCCTGAGCTGTGTAATTCGTGCTTGAGTTAGGCAGTCCGCTAGTCACTTGCATATTTTGAATAATTTACCTGATGACAAGATTTCTATATTTCCTCCTGGTGAAGCTCTCCTGGGGCTGCTGTACAAGTCCAGGACAGCAACGGGAGGAAGAGGGTTGCACTCTGTAGCGTTCTGTTTAGCCAAAAGCTCTCTGCTAATTGGCACCTCCTCATATCCAAGGCACAAAGATGATTCTCTCTGAGAAGTCGAAAGTTTCTGTAACTCATGTTCAGTATGAATATAAAAAAATGTTAAGTTTTACTCAGCATACATTTGGTGTCATGTCATTTACTAATAAAAATTAAATTAAAAAATAAACGTTTATTTTAAGAATGATTGTATCCAGATTTAATAGCTTCCACCAAGTCTCTTTTTTGGCTAAAGAGAACGCCCTGTTCTGTAAGTGTGCTGAGCAACACAAAAGTTATCCGAAAAGCAATGAGAAGAAAATGCTAATGCTAACACAAACCCTTTGTATTTTCTCCCAACTGAAAATCCATTATTGATATCATTCTAACCTCCAAACATAGAAGTGAAAATGAATGCATACTTTTCGGTCTACATAATTAACATTTAAACCAACCAAAAGAGAAACTGAATTTAAGAAATGGCATTGTTGTTTGATTTGGAGAGTTTTAGGAATGTGCACAGAACACGTTTCCAGAGGGGGCTGTTCAGGCACAGTATATCCAGTGATGGTGAAGCTTTTAGAGCTTTCAATGATACAAACAACCCGGTGCAGCATTCGTGGCATAGGTTCACCACTAGTGGTTTATACAGTGGTTTGGGAAGAGGGTAGATCAGACTGCATCCTACCCAATAGCCAAATGTGGCCTCTTGGGCTATGGCCTGGTTCTGTTAGTATGAGCTGCAGAATGAAGTACAGGAAGACAGATTTAATAATTAAAGACATTACAAGACCTGACACATTAAGTGGAGAAGTGCAAACTGCCTTCAGTAAATCCAAATTCACTTTGTAGACTAAGAACCATTTCTCCAAACCTTAGAGATAAGCATTCTATTATGCGGTGAGGGCATTGTATGAGTGCTGCTGTCTGATGAGGCTCAGGCTTCCAGGAGGGGTCCAGAACAACAAGTCTGTCTGAATTCTCCTTGGAGAGAGAATGGTGGGCAGGACTCAGTAATGGTTCATCCAGGTTGTCAATCAAAACAGCTTTAGAAATACATTATGTTCCTGAGGTGTAAATTGGGCAATTTAATGGAAATTAAGATTTACTCCAAAGAACAGATTTATTTCCCAGGACTTTTTTTTTGGGGAGTGTTCCCCAGTGGAGTTCCTTCAGACTCCCCTTGTTAACGACTAGGCTTTACTTCAGCTCCACGTTCCTTCTGAAACACTTAATTAAACCTGGTTTGGAGTGGTGTGTTGCAAGCAGGAGGGATGATTACTTTTCTCTGCCTTTCAAAGACACTCTAGGATTTCCTTATTTTGAAAAACTAATAAATGATTCCAGTTTCCTTCCCAGAAGAATAGAAATGGCTACATCCTCCAAACCTCTCTTCTACAAACCAAACTGAATGTAGGAATCCAACACTCAGAGGTAGGGAAGACAAGAGACACAGTCACATGTATGGAAAGGGATGAGGACAGAACAGAGTGGCCTCTGTACTGCTGAATTTCACTGGCTCTTATTTCTGACCACCGATCTACTTTCTCTCTCCTGGCACACACACACACACACACACACACACACACCACTTTTCTGGAGATCAAATGAATTTTTATTTACCCAAAGGAATGTTTGCAAAGTATATGTTTCACCTATACTTTGAATTCAGCAAACAGAGCTTTCTTTGAATTCCACAAACACAGGCACCGTGGTCTAACCTAGAGTTTTTGATTTAATAGGCCAAGGATGCCTAAGAATATGTATTTCTGAAAAACTACCACAAAATGCTGACATGCTGACCTGCAGACCACTCCTTGGATGGCACTGGTGGAGAGTTTTTCTAGATCCATTTTTGGTAACCCTTTCAAAAGGTGCAAAACTTGGTTTCCTAACTGCTACCTTCTTCAGGTCAAGCTCTCCTATTACCTTGTTGGCTGCTGTTTTTGAATTCCAAATAACTGTAAAGCAAGAACAAGAAACAGAAAACAAAATGCAAAAAATATTCCAGCTTTTCATTCCCTATTTAGAATAGGCCTGAAATTACTAGTGATGCTGTTTCCTATTCCATAAACCTGCAGGGGGCACCCTGTACATTGGATTCTTCATGAACAGCGTCTCAGGGGGAATTGTGGCACTCTGCAGGTGAGTTGCTGAGAACAGATTAAGTGTTTACTGGTTAAGCCCTGATTGCTCTGCCCAGTAGAGCACATTGAGGGATGAATTTATGACTATTCATCCTCATTTTTGCAAACTGTTCATGAACACATAATTTCAGTTAATTCCACAATAACCCTGTGCAATAGGTAAAGAAGACATGATTATCTTTATTCTTCAGAAGATGACATTGGTACAGAAAGATTAATGACTGTCCCAAGGTCACACAGCCAGTTGGTATCATAACACAGACTAGAGTGTTCAGGTCTTCATAAATATATGAGGCTGTAAAACTAATAATAAAACATATGTTAGAAATTTTAATGAATTCATTTTGGTGTTTGCTGCTCACCAACTGCTACTGGACCACATATTAATAGAAACTCAGAATTCTGAAAAGAGGTCCTACATTACAGTTTGCTTTGACACATGAAGATTGTGGGTTATAGAAAAGGGAAATACAGTTATAGATCTTATAGTAATATTTTCCATTCCTGACAAGGACTCACTTCCTAGGGCTATATATCCAATAGAATACTGTAAGCCAGTGTCTCTTTTCTAAAATGATTTGAACATATTTTAGAGATTTGAGATGTCATCTGATGAAAGCCAAGTGAAATGGTATAATTGTTCCAAAAAATTGAATCTACTTATATCTGCTGTTCCAGTATTGTGTTACCAACATGATAATAATTATCCCAAAGCTCATTAACAAACAACAAAAAATATCCATCACTGTCCTATTTTGTTTCCATGAAGTGGCTCATTATGTTTAGTATAGAGAAAATACATCAACGTTCTCTATAGCATACCTGTGGATTTAGTTGATTGCTCACTATAAACGGGTTTGAGTCAAAGCCAATTTGGCATTCACATCCAAGGAGACTCCAGGGACCTTGCAGAAAAGCTCTTTGTTCAAGTAAATCTATACAAAATAACGTTATTTTGTATTCCTTCACTGCTTTTGTCTGTAAGATATCCATGGTTGAGCCTTCTAAGGAGCTCACAGTTCAGACAGGTGGGGATAAAATAGGAAGTCAGAGACACCTGAAAGTTCTTTAGCCAAACCAAAACTAAGAACTCAACTTTGTGTTTCCTTGTAATTATTTTTAATGGGTAACACAAATGGCAAAACAATACCAAGAGAGTATACAGTGAGTGAATCTTCCTTCTGCCCCAGTTTCTAGGCCTTCCAGTCTCTGTCCTTGAGGAAACCTTTCCTATTAGCTTCCTGAATGGTCTTCAGAGATAAGCTAGAATATTCAGGTGCTGTGCTGGCAAGGCTCAGAAACTACCAGAAAGACGAAAATTGAAATCACTGTGTTAGTACTGACTTTCTAGAGGGTTAGGATCCCAACTTTTTTGATTTGTGACCAACTGCCTCAAACACACAAAAATCACACTAGAAGAGTATGTCATCATTTCAAAAGCAAGTGGATTTTCTGGTGAAGATTTTGAGGGATTTAGAGATCTCTACTTAAAGATATTTGGAAATATATTCAGCAGCTACAGAGAAGCAGGGAAAAGGGAAGGCATTACGATGGAAAATTTTTTGGTAAAGAATTTTATTTAAGAGTAAAATCTTCAGAACTTTGAGTAGTTCCAAAGTCTTCCGGGGCTACTTATAGGCAGCATCATAAAATGGGTAAAGTTAGTCCTTATTTGATAATTAGAAGAAGTATGTACTTCTGGCTTCAGAACTTATTAGCTATCTGTTCTTGGTCAATTTATCCTTTTAGAGTGTCAATGTCAATACAATGAGAATAACAGTACCTATACCATAGAATTGCAGTGGGGATCAGCACATAAAAGTTTAGTTGTTATTATTCTTGCTTCAGTATCACCTGTGTTTAGGGAATAGTTGAAGTGTAGTAAATATATCTATATTACCATTTGCTTGTCAATTATGTATGAAATCACAAATATGAGTGCTTTGAAACTATAAAGGACTAGGTAAATGTAAGGTACTTTTACTTATCTGAGCTTTAATAAACTTGTAAGGTATTCTTATTTTAAATTATTGTTATTATCTCTAAAAAGAGAGTCATTTTCAGTTTTCTTCTGCTTCTTTATCATCCACCTCGTATAGCTGATCACATTTTCAGTTCCAGAAAAATGCAGCAGAGATTGGCTGTCCCAAGCCACAGCATGCAGGTCTCGTGCCTTTAGAAGGCAGGGTGGTTAGGAGACACCTTCCTTGAACTCCTGGGGACCCAGGGTTATTCAGATCATGTCAGATTCTGCCCAATACAGAAATCTCATGTGAAAGATTTAAGTAACATCCTGCTATCCTTTCCTCTGAAGACTGATAATCATCTATTCTTGCTACTGTAACTTTAATTGTAATGTTTATATACTTTTCCAGGCCTCTAACCCCGGGCAGTTTGAAAATGACAGTGATGTATTATGGCAGCGAGGACAAGTCCCAGAATCTGTTGTCTGTCATGGTCGAATAGGAATAAACACAGATACACCAGATGAAGCCCTGGTTGTCTGTGGCAACATGAAAGTGATGGGGACAATCATGCACCCTTCTGACAGCCGGGCAAAGCAGAATATCCAGGAGGTGAGTTCAGTGGCAGGCCCTGGGCCCTCACCGATACCAGGGGTGCTGGGTTCTCCTGGCATCCTTGACATCTTTATGTCACCTGTTGGTTTGAAATGATCACGCTGCTTTATAAAGATGACTTTTGGAGCTGTTGGCCATCTGCTGAAATCGTAAAACAGTTTCTATCCAAGAGAATGGATTTACCTGATAGGAGCAGTGGGCAGTGACAGGATTTCACTGGCTTCACACACAGCAGGTCTCAGAGTTACTTTCCACAAGCCGTTCCCCTTCTCTCCCTGTTTGTCAACTGCCAGAGTTTGCCTTTGCCTCTTCACCTCCCTGAATCTCCCTAGCACTGCTTCAATCTTCTTCCTGATCGTATTTTTCCTGGATGCCTCAGCCTCTTCCTCCCAGGTCCCTGCATCAGTCCCGCAGGTCATTGTCTTCCTCATACATCATCTTTCTCTGAGAAGCAGTTGAGATGCTTCTGTTCCTCAGTCCTGACTGGGTCAATCTCGTGGCCCAGAGGTTCTGGGTGAGACCTCCCCACTCTGTGGAAAGGCAGTCACCTGGTGGAAATCAGAATAGGCCTAAATATCAGCAGATCACTCCCCCACTTGGGGCTTTCACCAGCAATGTGACCCTGGATATAAATGCTGAACATGGAGCAGTTTAACAACTTAGTGAGACTTTGTTTTAAGGTAGGAAAAAAAGGGGTGGGACTGGGGATGATACAGCTTAGTTTGAAGACCTGAGTTCAATCCTCAGTATCAGAAAAAAAAAAAATGCTGAAGCTCATAGAACTTGGTCTTCTTCTACAAGATGGAAATGTTCCCAATTCCTGACCCTCCTGAGTCTATCTTAAATTTTTCACCAGTTGAGATAAAGTACACACCCATCTTGGAAAGCACACCTGCTGTGTGAACCAAACTGATTAGGATGAAGAGTCTAATCCCTGGGCTCAGCCTCTCCTGGTTCCAGCTCTTCCATTATTTCAACTGTGTCCCATTCACTGCTCCTACCAACTTCCCACCTTCCCACCTTCTCACTCATTTTGCTTCTTGGAAAAGCATTTTTGAGGCTGTGCAGAGTTGTGTTTTTAAACCACTCTTTCTCTGCTTTCCTTTTTATTTTTTAGCTATGAGCAGACCTAATCTGTTAATCATTGGCCCTTCTTCCAGACTGCATTCCTTTCCCAGTGAAAATCTGCATTGGTTATTCTAAACCGGCCAAGGAATGTCCTTTTTTGCTGAGAGGATTCCAAAGAATGGTTGTAATTGTAGACTTTTAAGCTACTGAAGCTGTGGTTCATGTTAGAAGAGCTGTGACCCACTAGCTGGATGGGAACACAGGACTAGAAAGTTCTCACGTACGTTTTCAGATTCAGTGCTAGATATCAACTCTTTGACTTCACAGATAAACTGTCTGCATTTCAGATCACACCTATTCAATTGTATCCTTGCAATTGACTATTCCATTTCCTACCATGTCTCACTGAAATATAAGTGGACTACAGTGAGTAGGCAACTTCCTCTATAATAACCCCGCTGCTACCACCAGGCTTGCATATTTGTTTCTTTTATCAGAAGTCTTCAAATTTTGCTTTTTGGATGGAAGAAAATATATTAAATTAAAATAACAAGTTTCTATGGAACTTCTCATATACCTTTAAAAAACCTTCTCCATGTAAATTAAATGTAACCCCAGTCCAGGGTTCTGCATGTGAAATTCCTCTACTCCCTTTAAGCTCACAGCAGCCTGGTGGAATGAAGAGAATCCCAGTCTATGGTTAGAAGAAGGGAGGTTTATCTTGATTTTGCCAGCCCAAGACTCCTTCCCCAGGAGGTGACCTATTCCTCTTTTGTCTGTGGACAGGAGCTGGTCATAATTATTTTACCCAGGTCAAGGGATTTTTCTAAGTTCATATATGTGGGACACTTTTTAATTGTACAAGGCTAAGCAATAGTTATTATTTTTGCACTTGCATAAAATGCAAATTATATGCACTATATTAAGTTATTTTATATTAGTATATTTATTCCATACACATTTGGTCTATCTGCATTTATGAAATATATATTCCTAGAAAATTTGTCTGTCCCATCTACTATCTATGGCCGAGATGAGAGAGATGAAATATTGATATGGTGCTGACAGATGTGTGAACTTTACCTTCACTTCTCCCTGACTCAGTTTAACAATGTTGGCCAGGCTGCTCTTGAACTTATGGGCTCAAGTGATCCTCCCATCTCAGCCTTTGAGTAGCTGGGATTATACACATGTGCCACTGTGTCCAGCTTTAGTTTATCAAACTTTTAATAATGAAAGAGCCAGTCTTATAAATTCTCTGGGAAACTGGCCATGTTATAACAAAATACTATGAACGGGGTACAGTAATTTATAAACAATAGAAGTTTATTTCCCACCATTGTAGAGGTTGGGAAGTCCAAGATCAAGGTACTGCCAGGCTCCATGTCTGGTAATGGTCTTGGTCTCTGTTGCTAAAGTGGTTCTTGAATACAATATCTTCACAGGGTGAAAGGGAAGGAAAGGCAAAAAGGGGCTAAGCTAGTTTTCTTCAGTGTTTTTATAAGATATTGTTCCATTCATGAGGCCAGAGACCTCCTGACTTAATCATTTTCCCCAAAGGCCCCACATCTTAATATCACCACAATGGAGACCATGTTTCAACATGAATTTTTTTTCGCCATTAAGTTTATTGGTACATTTTAGGTATAAAATATATTTACATACATCATTGGGATCTTGTACCATAAGATGAGTATCTTGGTTCTTATTTTTTCCCCTTCCCCTGCCCTCCCTTCACCCCCTCCACCCTTCCCTATTTGTAAAGACTTTGTTTCCATTATATTCCTTTTCTCATATTTTTTCTTTTCCCTTCTTTCCTTTCCCCT